AATGATTTCACTCATCTTTGGAGCATAAGAACAAAGCAAAAACTGAAGGAATGAAATAGCAGCCGACTCACAGAACCCAAGAATGGACTAACAGTTACCAAAGGGAAAGGGACTGGGGGGCAGTAGGTGGGAAGGGAGGGAGAAGGGGAATAAGGGGCATTATGATTAGCACACATAATGTAGCAGGGGGCATGGGGAAGGCAGTATAGCACAGAGAAGATGGGTAGTGATTCTATAACATCTTACTATGCTGATGGACAGTGAGTGTATTGGGGTATGTGGTGGGGACTTGATAATGGGGGAAATCTAGTAACCACAGTGTTGCTCATATAATTGTATATTAATGATACCAAAATAAAAAAAAAAGAAGGTAAATGTGTGAGGCAGTGGGTGTGTTAATTCAATGGGGGAATCCTTTTACAATATATACATATATCAAATCATCATTTACACTTTAAATATCATACAATCTTATTTGTCAATTATAGTTCAATAAAGCTGGGGGAAAAAAGAAAAATTAAAAATGATTTTATCAAGTAGGATATTTGCTGTGTTTCAGGTTATTTACCATTTGAAATTTATATTTAAAAGACTTATAAGCCTAAAAATAAAATTTTAGTTTTATAGGCAGTATTATACTTTTAATCTATTCTTAGAATTTCTTTATGTGAGTCAGAGTAATTAAAGTCCTAGATGTATTTGTTTTGCTAATCTGACATGATCCTATGAAGCAGAATACAGGCATACCTTGGAGATAGTGCAGGTTTGATTTCAGACCATCACAGTAAAATGAATATTAATATAAGGCAAGCCAAATAAATCTTTTGTTCCCCATAGTGCACATAAAAGTCATGTTTATGTGATACTGTAGTCTGTTCAATATGCTATAGCATTATATCTTTAAAAAAATGTACCTATCTAAATTTAAAAATATTAATTGCTAAGAAAACTGCTAACCATCGTCTGATCTTTTGTGTGTCATAATTTTTAACTGGTATAGGGCTTTCCTCACTGTGGTTGGCTGCTGACTGATAGGTGGTTGCTGAAGCTGGGGTGGCTGTGTTAATTTCTTGATATAGGAAAACAGGTTTGACACATGTGTTGACTCTTCCTTTCAAGAATGATTTTTCTGTAGCATGCGATGCTGTTTGATAGCATTTTACCCACAGTAGAACTTACTTGAGAATTTGAGTCAGTCCTCTTAAACCCTCCACTGCTGTGTCAACTAAGTTTGTGTAGTATTCTAAATCTCTTATTGTCGTTTCAACAATCTTCACAGCATCTTCTCCAGGAGTAGATTCCATCTCAATGAACCACTTTCTTTGTTCATCTGTAAGAAGCAATTGCTCATCTGTATAAATTGTATCATAAGATTGCAGCAATTCAGTTATATCTTCAGATTCCACTGCTAATACTATTTATTATTTCTTGCTATTTCTACCACATCTTCAATTACTTCTTCTACTGAAGTCTTGAACCCCTCAGAGTCGTCCATGAGGGTTGGAATCAACTTCTTCCGAACTCCTGTTCATATTGATATATTGACCTCTTCTTATGAATCATGAATGTTGTTAATGACATCTCGAGTCCTCTCCAGGTTTTCCATTAACTTTGCCCAAATGTGTGAGAAGAGTAACTATCTATGGCAGCTTTAGTCTGATGAAATGTATTCCTAATCATAAGATTTGAAAGTCAGAATGACTTCTTGATCTATCGGCTGAAGACTGGATGTTATTAGCTGGCATGAAAGCAGCATTAATCTCATACATCTCCATCAGATCTTTCGGGTGACCAGGTGCATTGTCAATGGGCAGTAATATTTTGAAAGTGATTTTTTTTTTCAGAGCAGTAGGTCACAATGGTGGGCTTAAAATATGCAGCAAACCATGTTGTGAATGCTGTCATCCAGGCTTTGTTCTTCCATTTCTAGAGTATAAGCAGAATAGATTTAGCATAATTCTTAAGCACCGTATGATTTTTGGAATGTTCAGTGAGTATTGGCTTCAACTAAAAGTCATAAGCTGCATTAGCCCTTAACAAGAGAGTCACCTTGCCCTTTGAAGCTTGAATCCAGGCCGTGACTTAGCCTTTCTAGCTATGAAAGTCCTAGATGGCATCTTTTTCCAATCTAAGGCTGTTTTGTCTACATTGAAAATCTGTTGTTTAGTGTAGTCCCCTTCATTAATTATCTTAGCTAGATCTTCTACTATTGAACGATGTCGAAGATGTACAGCACTTGCTGCTTCACCTGCCTTTATATGTGTTGGAGACAACTTCTTTCCAGAAACCTTATGAACCAACCTCTACTAGCTCCAAACTTTTCTTCTGCCCCTCCCTCACCTCTCTCAACCTTTATGGAATTAAAGAGAGTTTGGGCCTTGTTCCAGATGAAGTTTTGGCTTTAAGGAATGTTGTGGTCAGTTTGATCTTCTATCCAGACCACTAAAACTTCCTCCATATCAGCAATAAGGCTGTTGCACTTTCTTTTCATTCAGGTGTTAACTGGAATAGCACTTTTAATTTCCTTCAAGAACTTTGCTTTGCATTCACAACTTGGCTAACTGGTGCAAGAGGCCTAGCTTTCAAGCCTCTCTCAATTTTTGAACATGCCTTCCTCACTAAGTTTAATCATTTCTAGCTTTTGATTTAAAGTAAGAGACAGGCAACTCTTACTTTCCTTTGAACAAATAGAGGCCATTGTAGTGCTATTAATTGGCCTAATTTCAATATTTTTGTGTCTCAGGGAGTAGGGAGGCTTAAGGAGAGGGACAGAGATGGGGGAACAGCTGGCTAAGAACACTCACAGCACTTATTAATAAGTTTGTTGCCTTTTATGGGTGGTGTTTGTTGTACCTCAGAATAATTGTAATAATATCAAAGATCACTGATAACATCATTATAACAAATACGATGATAATGAAAAAGCTTGAAATATTGTGAGAATTATCAAAATGTGATAAGGAGACTTGAAGTAAATGCTGTTAGAAAATTGAACTGATAGACTTCCTGGATATGGAGTTATTACAAACATACGATTTGTAAAAAATGCAGTATCTGTGAAACACAATAAAATGAGGTGTACCTGTAAATGAAGAATTACTGCTGCTTTATCAGCTTCTGGCCAGTACTTATCCATAAAACTCCTAAACTTTTAAAATAGACATAAGAATAAGGCTATGTGTAAGAAAAGTCACATTGAGTAATATCTGTGGTCCATCCAATAATGGAATAAATTGTGCAGATAGATGCTGTTGTTTTTAATGATACATAAAAGGGTACTGGCATACCTCAGATTTCATTGGCTTTCTTGCATTCACTATTATGGATTGCTATATATGATATTATTTAAATATCTTATTTACAAAATTGTTCAGTTTCTACCATTTCTTTTACCATTTGCTATGTAAAATAGTAATTCATTTTATTCATTCTGAGTTTAATATATTGTAGTCTGAATATTTTTGGGTTTGGTTAATCTGAGTAAAATAGTAATTCATTTTATTCATTCTGAGTTTAATATATTGTAGTCTGAATATTTTTGGGTTTGGTTAATCTGAGTATCTATGCATAACTTTTGTGGTTTCCTAGAAGTTCATCGTGTACTCCCCAAATTTTGTCTTTTAAATACTTATTCTTTACCTTCAGTAAGTCCGCATTGATGACTTTAGTTGTTTGTCACCTGTTGAACTATTAGGTCAAAGTTGAACTTTTTTTTTTGTTTGATCAGAACATGATTTTGGATGGATTTTATGTATCTGTGTCTAATATGACGATAGGCTTTTTTGGCCTTCATCTTACCTTTTGGAGGAATGTTTTTTTCTGCCTTTCTGTTCA